CATACTTTCTATATCCTACTCTGCTATTTGTGTTAAAACCTAGAATTTTATTTCACTTTATTTTCACATATGCATTAATATTTACTTTTTCTGATTATAGGCATCTCTGGTGATCATAAAGAAATGGCAGATCACATGACATCAGTTTCTTTGTTTTAAAATCTTTCATAGATTGTTTTTTTGCTTATAAATTCCTAAAGATTTATTCTAGTTCTTGATAAGAAGCCTAATACTGAATCTATGTACTCATTAATTCAACATACATTTGTGCACTTACTATATGCCAATTACTGTGTTCTTCTAGGATTCTCTCCTTTCAAAACTTTCCTCATTCCTTTGCAGTGCATATTTAAGGGGATCCCTCAATCAAATCTTCCACTTCATGAATTTAAGCTTTAACTAAATCCATTCTGCTATCTAGTCCATCTTGTTTTACTTTCATTATCATATTTTTAATTTCCAGAAACTCTATTTCTTTTTTCTAACATCCTGTTCTTTATGGATGAAATATCCTTATGAATCTCTGAAGATCTTAATTGTATTAATTTTAAAATTGTTTCTTCTAATTACTTTCTTGAACAGGTTATTTTAATTTGGCGTCTCCTTTTTAGCGGTCTCCAACCTTTTTGGCACCAGGGACCAGTGCTCCTATGAGACTCTAATGCCTAGTGATCTGAGGTGGAGCTGAGGTGGTGAGGCTGGTGCTGGGGAACAGCTGCAAATAAATGAAGCTTTGCTTGCTAGCCTGCAGCTCACCGCCTGCTGTATGGCCCGGTCCCTAACAGGTCACAGACCAGTACTGGTCTGCAGCACAGGGGTTGGAGGCCCGTTTTATGTTACTGGTTTTCTTCAAATTTGATAATTCTTGGCTGTCCATATTTATAGATAAGACTAAAGTTTGAAGTGCTTTGCCTGAGCCAAACGAGAATTCTGGTTTGCTTTCAATGAACACAAATTCTGATTATAGGCATCTCTGTTGATTGTAAAGGGAGTGGCATGTCACCATAGTCAAATAGTGAGTATGGGTAGCTTATCTTGAGTTTTTCCTTGTAGTCATTTTGGATAATGCCCCTTTCAGAACTCCCACTTCAGAGAGCTGCTTTCTTAGCCTTAGCCTGGTAACAAACTCCAGGATTAGGTGCTTCAAAGATAAGGGGAAAGGCTTAGCTATCCCACTCTTTAATTAACTGATCCTTCAATAATCTGCTTTTTATTTTCTAAATATTCCACTTTCATTTTCTGGCTTTCCAACTTCGCTATTATTTTTGTTTTAATACTTCTTCAGTCATTTCAACTGGATTCTAAAAGAGTAAAAGAATGTGTTCAGTCGTAAGTTCTAGCACGTGGTTTATAATCATAATCTTTAAAAAAACTAATCATCTCCTCTCTTGCTGTTGCTCTGAAAATCAAGTGTTCCTTTCTTGAGATTAGAGATTCTGTAAGTATCCATTTGAAATAAGATTGAATAATGAATCTAGTACTGGTTAGGCATACAATAGTAATTTTTGACCACTAGTAATTATGGGTGGATTAGGGTAAGATGATAAGCTAATTGCTATAGTATCACATCTGATGCTATTAAAAACAAAGACCAAAAAAATCTCCTATTTGTATAGATTGCATATGCTCTGGGAAATACTCAGCAAAGGTATATAATAATCTGAGTAAAGATACATGCTTGTAACCTTCTACAACCCAAGAAAATACTGTATTTCAATGAAGTGATATTACTTCAGGTATGTATTGAAAATTTAACAATCAAGGGACTAATGTATATATTAAGCAGCAGAATATCCGCATTTTAAGTTCTTAATGGAATAATTTCACGATAAAACATACAATATGAAAGAATTTTAAAACTATATTATGTGTCTATGTATGTATCTTAAAAATCTGTGGTCAAAGAAAAATGAGGCTAACTCATTTAATTTCTACCTCTTCCCACTTTTATTTCCTTCCAAACTTACCAATATCTGTCCAACTCTGAGTATGTCATTTTTATATATTTTGCAGTGTGAACCTTGTCCCTGATTTCTTACCTATATTTCCATGTTTCCCTAATATTCTGAATTACTTATCTAATCATTTTGCACTGAACATATGTAGGTGAGCCACCTCAAATTCACTGAGGAACCAAGTAATCTACATCCTCATCTTTTCAGATCTTTCACTTTTAAGAGCATCAATGTATCTCATGCTCCCATGTCCTCTGAGACCCCGCTGTGTAGATGAGCCTCTCACACTTTAGCATCTCCTTTAATTGGTTCCTTCCTTTCAATCTATAAAATTTAAGTTCCTCTCATTCTAAAGAAGTTTTAATTACTTCATCTTCTCATCCAAACTCCTTCAAAGAGTAGCCTATACCCACTGTCTTCACTGTCCCCTCAATTTACTGCAATTTGGCTTTCTCGTCTATCCACCACTTCACTGAATTGGTCTAATGTCACCAAGGACCTGTCAAAATCTAATGGATACTTACATTTTCTGCAGCATGACAGTATCTACTTCCTCCTTCTTGAAACTCTATCACCTCTCTTCTCAGAATCCTTTTCCTTCTTATCACTTAAACTTTGACAGTCCTCACAGTTCTCTGTAATTTCACCCACTTTCATGATTTTTACTGCTTATATGTAGACAACAAATCTTTATTTGAATACAATATTTTAAAAATGTCTTCAAATGGATGTTCAGTTCTGTCATTTCCTAAATTCTACAGGTGCTTTAAAATTCATGTTCAAAATAAAACTTTTCCCCAATGCAGTTCTTTAGCCCCTATTTCCAATCTCAGTAACAGCACCCAACCCTGGTCATACAAATGGGAGTCCAGCCTCTGCCTACTTCTTCCTTACTTCCCATAACCAATATCTGCTATTTTCCTAAATAAATTAAAACATACTTCCTCCCTTCACCTAAACCTTATTTCAGACCCTTTTCCACTTGCTGTTACCTACTTAAGTTACCAAATTGGTGTTTTGTGGAACCGGTTGTTAGACACTATTAAAAAAATATATTTGAGAAAGGCTACATACCATATACCTATCTTAAGAGATTCAGAATGAATATTAATCTACAGAAGCTCTAAGAAGTCATACAATAAGAAACTTGCTTAACTTTATTTAAGCCAGGCTATCCCTTATGTTTGTCCGTGAAACCCTTTCGGTAGAGACAGGAGAGAAAGTGGGAATGTTGAAATAACACTCAGAAAATAATGCTCCTCAGAAGAGTGTGGCATGACCTCCATGCTTCTTCAAATTGATTTTCCATATTGGAGCTAATGATCTAAAATGCAAACCTGAAATTATCATTTCCATTCTTCAATCCTGTTATTAGCTATTTCCTGAGGAAAAAGAAACTGCTCCATCTACCATGGATTGTAAGGTCTGCTCTCATTCTCCCTGCTTTCTATTTCAGCATCACCTGCTATTGCCAGATGACATTCCACTAATTCTAAACTACTTGTCACTATAGTTTCCCAAACATACCACTCGCACCCATGGCTCTGTACTTGTGCTTATGCTATTCCCTCTACCTGGATCAGCCTCTCCCTTCATCATCTTATTCACCAATTTCCAACTAGTCCTTCAAGACTTAGCTTAGGTATTACTTAGATGACTTTTCTTGCCCCTCAGCTCTCTTCTTTTCCAAACACTGGCCAAACTCCCTAAGCATTCCCATTATAGACTATAACAGCAGTGTTAAGACATCTGCTTGTGTGTCTTCCTCTCTCACTCTATTGTAAAAAGGCCAAGACTACATCTTGTTCCTTGTTTTATTCCCATAACAGTCAATCCATGACTAATGAACTACATAGTATTGTGGTAGCTCTTCTGATAACAATCAGGCAGGACCGTCTAGAAGAAATCTGACACTCCAGCTTTTTTCTAACAACTTATCTGCACACATTTTATCGGAGACGCACAATTTAGAGACATGTGTTCACATACTTTTATATATTCTGCCTTTAAACAATCCTACCTAGATGATGGGAGGGGACAGGTATGCTTTCTTATAGCCCCACTCTTTTGCATTTCTATTGCTCATCGGCTTTTCTCTCAATGTCTCCCTTAAGCTCTTCTTAACAAGGAAACAGGATAACAAAGTGATTAAGAGCATGGGTTCCGGTTCAAATACCAGCTCTACTACTTATTTATAGCTGTGTAATTTTGGACTACACACATTATCTTCTTAGCCTCCTCATCTGTAGAATGGGCATAATACTAGTTCCCTACCTTACAGAGTTGCTGTAATCCACAAACATGGTTGAGTACTTGGCAAATGTACACTGCTCTGGATATTATGAATTAGGATACGTCAATGGCTTCTGGCCATGTGATTTATAATATTTCCACATTTAACCAAATGGTAAAACTCTTCCATTTATTCACTCTCATCCCTTTCTAGTCCCCTTACCCTGCTTTGTTGTTTACTTTTTTCTCCTTTCACAGATTATTAGTTCCATGAGGGTAAAGGCTTTGTTTTGTTCATTGCTGAAAACAGTAATACCTAGATTATTGTACTTATCAGGCCCTCAGCAAATACCTGCTGAGTGTCGAAAGAAGACATAAACCAAGTTTCATTATAATGAAAAGAATACATAAATCTTTCTCTAACGGCTTCTGTGGTCCTGTATCTAAAAACACCATATGCCATAATGAAAACATAAGAAATTTATTAAAATTTTAAGGCAAAAACATAATTTCAGAAGATTTAGACCTATGTCAGGCGTGATAGAGTATGGATGCTTTCTTGAAATTCAAAATCAGATCCAAGAGTGTCACTTTCAGAATGTTCTAATAGACTGAAGTTACTTTTAGCTGTCTTGGATGAAACAGTCACTATTCTACTTTCTTTCTTGACAGAAATCTGTTTTTTCAAAGACTCACTTTTAACTGGTTCATTAATCAAAGTGCTATTTTG